TAATTTTTTAAGTCACTTTGGATATTTTTGTTTTAGTTACAATACACATTGCATGTAATGGTAGATATTTTTGCAGTTTTTTTGAACACAAAATAAGCTTATTTTCAATAATCAAGCAATAAAGTTTTATAGATGAGTAAGCAGTCGATAGAAATTCTCTGTCTATCTGATTATGAGTTAAGAATCATAAAGGATTTGACTTTTGCTTTCTAAAATACTACATTAACAAGCGCCAGACAAGTTTTGAACACATCGCGTAATCAGTAATAGTTTTCTAATTTTCAAACTAAAGCATGCAATTGCAGTTTTTGATAAGAGCAATTACATATAATTTTGTAAATGTTGAGCAAACTTTGAAATATAAAATCGAAAATTTGAAAATTGAAATTCTTATTCATACTTGAAATCAATTTCTCTCAGTAGTACGATGTTACAATTTGAATGCATAAAAAACCGCACAGTTAAATTATTATATTGACGAAGCTAGTACAAATATCATAATTGATGAATTTATTATTTTCGAATTTTCAGTATTAAATAAATAATATTGATATCAGTCATTCGATTATTTTTTTGCAATAGTTTATTACTGTAATTATTGTTGGTGGATAATTTCTTACCATATTTTTAATTATAAAAACTAATTTCTTGCAGGTTTGCAAAAAGAACTAACTTATTTTAGAAGCAAGTTTTTAATATAAAATAAGCTTGAAGAAAATTGTCAACTTTTTCATCTATTTACGCATTGCAATACTGTAAAAGTTACTGATAAAAGAGAAAAAAACGAGCTTAAATTCGCAAAAAGTTAATTCTATTCAAAAAATAACATATTTTGCTTTAAATCATTTTTTTTACTTATAAAATGTTAAATGCATTTGTTACCGTACTAGTGGCTCAACTCTTATAGCATATAGCATTTGAACGTTGATTAAATAAACATGCCATTATATTCTCAAATTGTTATACATGGTTTAGTTTAACAATTGCTGGATTAATGCATCACAGCAGGTGTGTGGTGCTTGAAGGTTGTTGACCTTGCATGACCTTACCTTTACTCTAAAACAATAACCTTTAACAACTTTGTTATTTCTTTACATTGCGTTCATTTATGCTAAACGGTTTTTCATTTGCATTCAGATAATGTTAATAATATTTTTGTCCCTGAAAGAAAGATTTTATTTATGAAAATTAAGCTTTTTTTTACAGTAAAAAGCAGTTTTTATTTATGATTTTTATTCAATTATTATAAAGTATTTACTCATTTATTTGTCTACTTATTTACATATTTATTTATGTAAAGTATTATTTTGTAACAAACATTTGAAGAATTTCATTCAATATTTTTCAGTCCTAAAATACAGTCTCAAAGCAGAAATGATATTAGTAATTGTTATGCTACTACTAATGATGAGGTTTCAAGAATTATAATTAACAAATTCATTGGATAAACGTATTCGCATCTCACAAACAGTACAATTTTTGTAAATTAAATAAAAACACCAATTGTGACAATTACAATTCTAATTGTAGGAAGAAAATCTTAAATCATAATAAGAAACAGAAAGTGTCATGCTATTACAAATAAGTTTAATTATTTTTTTGACGCAATAAAATGCTGACAGTCCAATTTGCAGCATTCAAGATCTGACACACCAAATTATTCTAACAAATAACTTTTGCAACTCTCATTACTCGTACTTTTCCTCTAGCTCTGCATATAAATACAAAGTTGTTCTTTTTCTTGAAACTGAAAAATACTCAATCTAGTCAGATCTTAGATTATGTAGGATATTTTTAAACAACTTTTGCAAATTACATGAAAACTTGCTCATAGTTTAACTTCTATGCTGTTGTCTACATAGTGATTAATTATGCATTTTTATATTACACGCACTTCAGTTTAACAAAAACCAATTTTATGTTCAAACTTGCGCAATGTAAAAAACCATTACATTTTGTATACAATTATGATGCATAATACAAAGCAAAAATATTACGTCAACATCAATTAAAATACAAACAATGCTTTATAGTGCAGTCACATTGATATTTTTTGAAAATATGTCAATGTTAATGCAAATTAAGCAAGTTAGAAACGAAAATTGTAAACTGGAAAGATAAGATAATAAAAATAAAATGTTACAATGAGCTCTAGGTTATAAGATATGAAAAATAAAGCATTATAGAGCTACCGACCGGAAAACATCCCGAGGATTCTCAGCAGGAGATCAGCTAGCCTATCTGAGATTGGATCGTTCATCATGGCATTCGTCTGTGACTTCAAAAAGATGACTGCATTTTTATGGCAAATAATATTTCCATCAAATGAATATTACAACTCTTCTTCTAATTAATTACTCCTATGCTTTTCACTGACCTTTCTTTGCTATCAGAAGTCACGTCATTCTTGCATATATTAAAATTGAAAATTGGTTGACAAAATAGAAAAATCCTTGCAAATCTTATTATAATTAATTGACTTCGTTAAATTACAAATGCAAAATCAACCTTTGTCATGCCGCACACTAAGTAGTAATTTGATTATTATCAATAATATATTTACAATTAATCAATCAAAAGCTTAATTTTAACAACAAAAGTAGTAATAAGTAGCTGAGTGAATACACTTTACTAGTATTTCTAACTGAATACTTCACCTGCTGAGTTTATTTAGGATTATTCACAATTCATAATAAAATTAGCTCTCATCAAAACTTTTACTTCTTATAATTTTCATTCTTGGTCTTGTCAGACAGACTACAGAACGAATGATCTGTTACAAAAAGATTGTGCATTAAGTCTGCTAAAAATCTGCCACACAAACAATAAATTTGGAAGTGAATTTCTAAGAGAGAGTACTTTTTGCTATATTTATTAATTAAATGATTAATGTATTGCTAATAATGTAACATATTTCAATAGAAAATATTTATTTCTATATTTCATGTAAGCCAAATAATTGTTTTGCTAAGCTAATTGGTGATTATATCCATAAATTTTTGAAAAAGCAGACAAAATATGAAATATGATACTTTATATCATTCAAAATCTTTGCTTACAATTGTTTAAGACTAAAACACTGTAGTTTTCTAGCAAACAATATATATTAATGCCAAGTCTGCAAGAAATATTAGTTTTTTTCTTTGCAGTTTTTTTGCAAAAAATTAAATTAGCTTGAAACTCAATTTTATATGATAAAATGATAAGCATAACTGCTAAATTCAGTTTGAATTAGTTGAGACTAAGAGGAGATTAAAGCTTAGTGATTTTCATTTAATTATCAGCAATAACAGAACAGAAATTTGCTCAAAATTGGTAAAAGAAAATATTTGCTCAATCCAACTCATTAGATTCGAAATACGAGCTTAAATTACGGCGGTTTGTCCTTAAGTAACGCACGTGTAGTAAAACATTACTAACAAATAAGATGAAGACATATTGCAAGAATTTTAGTTGATTTTATAATTACAATACTAATCACAGAATACTCATTATGAATGCATTGTTGAACAGAAGAAATGCGCATAACTATCTATCATTCAGTGAATGAATGATTACTTTCTCTGATTTATACTCTGCTATTTACTGGACTTCTAGCTAATAATATTTAAAGTAATTGGCAGAAAAAAATTAAAATGCCACCAACTTGTCATTATAATGCAAAATGCAAAGAATTAATGCAAATTTATCAAAGTTTAAGCACATTTTATCAATCACTTTTTTTAATCCAACTCATATCGATAAAAGTTTTAAGCAAATTTTACGTCTTCCCACAGCTAATTTTACATTGTTTATATTCAAAAGTGGAACATCAAATTATTATTGCTTATTTTTGTCTATACAAATTTTCTTGACAAAATATTGATGTGTGATATCTTGTTGAAAAATTAAACAAATTTAAGAAGAAAATGTTTATTCGCAGTTAATATTGTGATATAATAGTTGCAGTAGTATAAGGAAAGTGATTTAATGAGCGACTTTACCGGCACAATAATCATTGGCAGCTACAGATCGTTTTAATGAATAGTTTAAAAAATGAAAAAAATACTTAATCTAATATGGTGCATTTGATTACTATTACTTTTTTAATTCAAGAATATTTTCATATCAGTTAGACCATTTTATAGCTTACAACTGATGGTGATAGTGGGATTAAATTTGCCTCAAATAAGCTTAGATTGTAGCACCATAAACGATTATATAATTCTACTTTTTAGGATTTCAGAATATAAAATAATTTGAAGCATCAAATAAAAATTCGAGAAAAATCCAACTTGAAACATAAATAGATGACACCGTTTAATTTCTATAGGATGGGAATAAAAAACAACCATATTAAGAAGCATTTTAAAGTTTAATATTTAGACTGTAAATGGATGGAAATTATTGGCAGCTTGAGTGTAATGATGAATTTTTTTTATATAAAAATAATAATTAATTTATTTATTTTTTGATAGATATAAAGAGAAGATAAAAAGATAAAGTAGAGTAAAAGTTAAATATTAGTTCGCTTTCATATACATTTTTTGAATTAAACATTAAGCTAAAATTTGATCATAAAGCGTAAAAGATAAATTTTTTTTCATATTGCTTAAAAGTGAAATTCAAAACTCGCTTTTTTTGTTAAAACTTCCAGCATGCTAATTTTTTAAAATAGTGGAAGGGCGGTAATTTCGGGTATTGCGAGTAAATTTTTCAAAGCGATAAAAAAGTAGTCGACTTTTCAATGAAAGTCTGAAAAAATATTCGAGATTTCTCGCAACATTACGTTTGTTTGTTCAGTGATTAAAAAAAAGAACAAATGATATTATGAATAAAACGCTAACAATGGTCACGAAGGAATTTTTTGCCCAAAATTAGTTTACTAAATTATTAGCTGAAACTAAATGAGAAAAAAATATCCCACAATTAAACTGTAAAGAAAAAATTCTGCGTTAAAACAGAGGATTTTTCTCAGTTTCTTTCAGTCATTATTAGCGCACTTCGATGGGGATCACTTTTTATTGTCCTGTTTGTATTGTTTTCTGCGTATGAGTAGCGCGTTCGTCACCATCTTTATTAATTAACGTTGTCACCACGTTTGCACCAATACCCCACGTATTCTCTCCATCATACACCAAAGATTCTGGTGGACTATGCAGACCACCTTGGTCACGTGCCCATATCTGCAATAATTACCATTTATTATTTACTAACTACAAAATTTAATATCAAACTATACTTCTTTAAAATTAAACAACATATATTTGGGTTTCAAAAATTCAATGAAAAAAGTTTTGACTTTTAGCAAACAAAAATCATAAAAAGATATAATAATATCTTTCACTGTAATATACCTTCATTGAGCGTCCAGCTTTCAAAACAGTATTTGGTGGGATAGTATAAATAATTTCTCGACGATTATCAAGTTTTCTCCGAAGCTTATGCTCACCAAGATTTTCGTCCTAAAATAAATCTCAGATATTGTGTCGAAATCAACATTAATCATGAGAAATTTAGAAAATGGGAAAATGATATCTTACGTTAGGAATATGCGTCAAAAATTAAATACCGAAATGGAAAAGACTTGGCAACAATGAAAAATTCATTCCAATTAAATATATCTTACTTTGCTTCTATGATTATTCTCGAGCATGATGAATCTTCCATTTGGATCACATTCAGAAATTGTTACACTCCCCTTAGCAGACCGTTGGAACGTCGTTTTCGTCGAAACTTCACCACGTACGCTGCGTGTTGAATCTGTATCTTCTTGTTGCTGCAGAGAATGCGTTTTAACAACCTGTTCGACCATTTGACGAAGACCAACGCTGAAACACATGGAAGCTTTTTTGTACTATCATCACATATAAAGTGAAGCAACCAACGAATCACATATTCGTCATTATTTCTTATTTTCCTCTGTAGCAAGTTAGTCATAAAATGAATAGTTACAAATAATATCAGAATCACTTTTACTCATTTACCTTCATAAATATTTGCCATCATCTTCTATTAACTGATTTTATCATGCATTTTCTAAAAAGTGTGTACCAAACTCACCGGCTTTCTTCACCCTCCAACATCTTTCTATAAATAGCAATCTCAGCATCGAGCATTTGTTTGGTGTCCAAAAGTGCTTGTAATTCAGCCACCAAAGTTTGACACTCCTCGCGCATACGACGTAAAGTTGCATCGCGATCATTTAAAGCTGTTTCATATTGTCTTTGATCATCGTTAAGCTGAAAAAAATTTTGAAATTGAGTTGCAAATAACAAAACCATGCGTAATCTTTGACAAATGGTAACTTCTGATTTTGTATTTAATATCACAAAAAAATTCTTAATAAAAGAAGTAAGCTCATTTGCGAAAAATAAATTCATTAAGTGTGTTTTTCACAAACATTCGTTTTTTACCTGATTGTTCAAGTTTTGTACTTCCTTCTCAAGAAGTGCGTTTTTAGCTTCTAGGTCACCAAGTTTGCCACGAAGGTCACCAATGTTGTCACGCATTCGTTTCACTTCTTCACGTTGATAATTTGCTTCCATATTAGCGCGATTTGCAGTGCCTTGCACTTCTGACACCTTAAATATTCCATGGTGAACAAAATTCACAATAAATTTTTTTTGTCTATCTAACTTCAAACTCTTATTTGAAGACGACTATTTTACGACTACTCATTCAGCTGAGATTATTTGAAAATTTTCGCTTTATTTCAAGGCATTAATTTTCATGATCACGGATAATTTCACGCATTTTCTAATGTTATACCTTCAAAACTCAAGATCAAAGTCAAATAATGCATTTACCTTGAGTTTGTACCAACTTTCCATATCTTGCTTGCCCTGTTTAGCAATATAGTCATATTCATCTTTGATATCACGAATAGCCAGTGCCAATTCGTTCTTGAAGAATTCACGTGTATCAGCTGGAGCCTGCGCCAACAAAGCTTGAAGTTCCTTGACTTCTTGTTCATGCACACGTCGTAAAAATTCCAATTCTTCCATGAGTGTTTGCACTTGATTTTGGTAGTCGATACGTCCTAACGTTTCTTCATCCAAATCCTAGAAGTATTTGACTAATGTCAACAAATTGAACGTATTAAGGGATTTCTTTTTTCTTATGATTTGAATAAATTCATTCATACAATACTAAATATCCTATCATTAGTTCCACAAGGATGATATTTGATCATTAAAGTTCTGGATCAACCAATTTGAACAGAACAATTTTTTATATTGAAATGTAACATTTTTAATAAATTTAGTCAGCATTAGGTAGTGAAACTAAAATGATTGTAGATGTTAAGAAAACTAACGTTTCGTGCTTTCTGAAGTTCTTCCCAAATACGAGCATTATCTCCGTTTAAGCGTTTCTCTTCATCAGTTAACTGACGCCAACGGGCTCGAAGCATTTCCAATTCACTTTGTGCATCATCGATTGCGTGCTGCCATTGATTGATCTTTTCATGATCGTTTTCACGTCGATGCTGCACGTCTTCGTATCTAAACTTGACTACGCTATTGATTATTATGCTACTGATTAAAAGTAAAAAACTTAATCAGCACTTAATTTATACATTGAAAATCCCAATGTCCTTCATATCACTCACTTATCTGAAGTATTTCAAATTAATTTATCGCTTTAAACAATTTCTTTCTCTCACCTCTAAAGATTTATAACACAATAAAAGTCGAGCGGCAGTTTTGCATAAATTTTCATTTCCACTTTCATACGAATGACAGAAAAATCTTCACAAATAAAATAAAATACACACTCCCTTATCTTTACTAACATTTCTAAAACTCAACTTTAGCATTCTGCTCTATCTTACAACAAATTCTAATTAAAAAAGAATGAAAAAATAACAAACCGACTGCGAATTTCAGCAAGATCATCACGAAGTCGTGCTGCTTTGACATCGATTTCAGCCTTCCGTCTTGCTCCATCATCAATCTCCTTGCGAGCATCTCGCAGTGAATCGGAATATTGGATCTTGAATTAAATTTTTTAAATATATGCTTCTATCAAAACTGCTGCCACTATTTTAGGACGAACATTTCGTTACTTAAACTGACCGGTTAGCCGAAGTGCCAGTTCTCTAAGGCCTGCTAATATTTGTTAAGAATTTCGAGCTTAATGTATTAAATAACATGACAATAATTGCTTTACAACTATAAATAAATAAAACTAATACAAAACATATCTGAAAGTATTTGATTAAATTAAAGGTAATGCTTAACAATGAAATCTTTTCAAAAAATATTAATCAGTGAGATTATTATTTCCTCCATTAATGCATTCGTAAGAAAAAATTTTTCTAAATAAAAGTTTAGTATGTTTGTGGTTTGATAATTATAATAACAATCTATTTATTCAACTTTACTGCAATAATTTTTTAGAAAATAAGCAATAGTGATTATTTACTTAAAATTAATGAACTTAATAAGTTATAATAAATCTTACTAGCTGATATTACACCATAACAATTTCTACAATACTTTTTATCATTGATCTGAAATCTCTTAAGAGATATCACAAAAAACAAATAATAATTTCCAGCCTGAAAAATTTTGCTGATTTAATAGTTTTCTTTATTGCCTTTATTTTATTTCTTTTGATGATTAAATGATAAAGTGAAGAAAACTTGTTTTCTTTAACTCATGAAGTTTGTCTCTCATTATGAAGTAAGTAATGACTTCTTTTTCACTGCAATATTTCACTAAAACTTTTACTTTTATGACAATTACTAATTTCTAAAGCAAAAATAATAATGTTAAAAGTAGATGCATTTTAGTTCACATTAGAAACTTTAATACAAATGCTTTTTTTTCATTAAGTAAATTTTGTCTTGTTTGCTTATGATTCGATACGAATAATACTTTTTACAAAACTGTACTTGGTTACAAACTCACTGCTACTCGTTCAACGCTACTGCTTTATTGAAGCAGAAGTATGCACTAACAAACTCTCAAAGAAGAAAAAAATCAAACAAACAAAGTGTTCAAATAATTCTAGGCATACGTTACTGCTAGCTACAAAGTGTTCCAACGAGTACAAAGTTAAAAGCAAAAGTACTCATTTCTCCTTCAAAATTACTTTTATGAAAACTTTTCTATTTTCAATATTTCAATTAAGTAATAATAATAATAATAAGTTTTCTATAAATATTTGTCAACTGAAAGTTCGATCATCAATCATGACTTCGCTACACTATATTTATAAATATTTAGTATTGGTTGACGACTGAAAAAATGATAAAATGTGTACGAAAACAACGATAAACCGTGCGTTAGAGAACAAACACTTGAGTTGCCTTATTGAGATATGAATACTGATTTATATCAAAATTAGATAAATATTGATTGATACAGTTATGATAATGTCACTACTAATCAAATTAATAGTTGCAATCTTAAAAGTGATCAGAAAATTGGAATGTACATACCTCTCAGCAATCACTGTATGATTCTTATTTTATTATGGAATTATGTAATATCGATTGTTTGAAATTCAAAAGTGGTCACAAAATTAATTAATATTAACAGAAAATGAAGTCGATTCAAACTGATCAAAATTAAGTCAATTCATTTAAAGGAATGAAAAATTAGATGACCTTTTCTCCCTTTCAATAATGTGACATTCAAAATTAACTTCGTCAGCTTTCAAAATTCTCTCATGAAATTAGGTGAAATGTCGAGTAAATGAAAAATAACAAACCTAATTTGAGTGTAAAACAGCGTTACATCGAGTAAAGTTCACTGTTAGCCAATGAATGATAAATTTTAATTTCAAGGACTTTTGCAAATTGTTTGCATTGCAAGAGTAACTGTTACAATTTAGCCTAATTTTTTTGTAGTTTCGAAAAAGTCTAATTTCTTCTATTTTATTAAACTAAATGATACGAGTTTGCATATAATTACGTTTACCGTTAATTTGTTCTTAGTGCAATTAAATTTGATTGAAAAAATTATGATACAAATTGATTTATTACTTTAATTTCACTTGTGTCTTTTCCCCAACGTCCACGCAACTCTTCAAGATCAGCGACTAACTTCCGGTTCTGTTCCTCAAGCTTCTTTACACGGTCGATGTAATTGCCAAGACGGTCATTCAAGCCTTGCATCTCCTTCTTTTCTTTATCTGTTGCTTCCAGAAATGATTTTGCAGCATTTGCACTGAGTGCCGGGCTTATGCCACCAATGGATGCGGAGCCCATTTCAGTGACCATTTTCAATACACGACCTGAAATATATTTCTTAGCTCGGCACATCTTATTTCAACGATTATATATCATATTATTTGGTAGTAATAGACAGTAAGTAATTCAAGAAAAAATAAATCTGAAATATTAATGATTGCAATAATGTTAGATAATACACAGAGATCTCTGAAATTTTTTGATTCATTTGGTCATTAAAGTGTTCTGTTATAAGCAAGAATAAAAATTGAAATAATTAGTAACGGAAAGTGAAAAGCAATGCTACATTAGCATTTTTATAATTTTTCAATTCTATTTTCTTACTGACTGCGATGTTATGAATACCAGATTTTGAGGTTTTTTCTTTCCAAAAAACTTACCTCCACCACCAGATGATAACGTTCGAAGAGTATCACTCGAATACATCATTATTCTTTTTGATTACAACTAGAAAACTTAAGAGTAATTCTACTGATGAGGCAATAATAATAGTAATAATAACAGACCAGAAAAACGTGTTCAAAAAAGAAATCACCGAGATAAGCTATGCATGATGTATGCATAATTAATAAATAACATCAAAGAATATGCAAAGATTGAAATTACAAAAACAATCAGATATACTTTTAACACACTTATAAATTTATAATTACACAAATATATGCAAGAAAATAATCAATATCTTATCAAAACAAGTTTTGTAGTTTTGATTTTTTGCGATTAAAAATTTGCAAAAATTAAAATTACTTTTATAGTCTAAATGTAATAAATAGCAAATTATTTGTATCAGAAATAGAAGAAAATTATTCACTGCATCCAAAAGATCTTAATTAAGTCAACAATAAATATAATTTATTATAATGGCACTGATAATAAATGTTACACTTATGGTATAATAACAAAAATTCTGATAAATAATGATAGCAGAGAGGCATACCTCCTTGTATATAACACTGCTATCATTAGTAATGCCATAACAGTGACTAAAAGTAATTTTGCTCAATAACAACTATTTTGATGTGATACTATTAGAGACAGAAATCAGTTTATTGTCAACTTAAATGTGTGCACACATAGAAATATGCATGCACACATGCACACATGCACAAACACACATATATACAGCGATACTCTTGTGCATACATACATACTACTTTTATTTCTTCATTACTTTCTGCATTTATTTACCTCAATTGTTTGGAATTATGTATACTTTCTACAACTTACCAACCAATCATTAAAGCAATGATTTGCTTTATATAAACAAACATTACTCATTAGCTTTTTTCATAGAATAATGATTAAATTACTGTAGTCAAATGAGTTAATGCATAATTAGACTCAGTATCACACTCACTAAATTCATACAAAAAGCTGGCTACCTTCTTGACTTCATAAAATAACTTCGTAATCATAGGAATTTCTTACAGTTGCATTAGTTGTGACTACTCGTATCATTAAGCTATTCTCAAACAGTATATTTGCATTTTATATTCGTTTAGATGCAGCAAAACTTGTGTGACTCATCTAATCGCTGCACACCCGTAACTTCTCTTACGCGATATTTGCTCAGTGCAGCAATATCCAGACATATTTACACGTCACTATCGTTACTTAGTGTAGCAACAATAATAACTGTCTTTACAGTTTAAACCTCTTTTACAACTCTAAAATGCAATCAATTGGCAGCTAACAGGACTCTTTTTCGTATCCATTTCACAACGGAAAATATCTGTACGTTTATAACATTCTACGCATTCACGTTAGTCAAATATGTAATGCATACGTGAGTCTGTATTTATCTGCAATTAATCTACTCCATTAGCAGTAGTTGTGAAAAATTATTGAGTATTTTTGTGTAAAGCATTTTCCACTCCTCTGGTTGTTTTGTTAGTCGAAAATGAACAAAATTTTTGGAGATGAGAGAAAAATTGATCATGTAATCATTAAAGTAAAAATGAAGTTGACAGCGAAAACTGCGAATACAAACTATTCTACGAGAGAGCAATGTTAAATTTATTATAAGATTCTTTCTCCATCTCGTGTTACATGTTATATACTCTTATTCTAGACACACGATAAGAAATAACTTATTTTGACAGAATTCCTGCTTGAATACTTTATTAGTAGAGTAATGTTTGTGCTGTTATGCAACTGAAAAGTTACTTACTCTCAGGTGTCAAAGCATCTACTATGATTCGACTTAAATGCACATAATCTTATTTATGAATCAGTAGCAGAGACGATTGAATATGTATCATCAATTTCATTGAAATAATATAGAGCATTTTTGGAAAATGGAAAAGCACTGATTCCAATCAAACAAACTTCTCTTCTGCAATATCAATACATATAGTGCTGTTAACTAATAGACGAAAGTTGAATATTTTAAATTGTTTCCGAATTTTTTAGCTAAAGAAAGTTAAATGACTCATTTAATTAGAGTCATTCCCGAAAAAGTTAAGATATACTGCAAAGCAGTAACAAAAAGCGATAAAAGATAAAATTAATTACTTGAATACTAAAATCCTGGTTTGGACTGAATAAATCCACACCTGTTAGTTGAGTCATTCGAAATTCAAATGGTAAAAATGGCAATAAATTTTTTTAATTGTATAGCTGAATTTATTCTGTTTCTACCAGAGTAAAAAATGCTCCCGAAGATTTTAGCAAAGTCTTGTTTTTTACAATATTCATAAAATATAAAGAATATATTTTTGGAACATGCTTTTTCTATTTTCACCTTTCTCAAAATCACTTTCTGTCCGCGAAAATCCATAATAAATTTTTTTCCTGTTAATAAAGTTCATTCAACTGATTTTCTATTTTTTAGTATCGCTCAGTTCAACAAAAAATTTGAGAAAACATCTATGATTTTGGATGTTTTTAAAAGACAACAAGAAACGGTAAGAAAAATAAGCATTTTTTTAATCATTTCGTACAATCTTAAATAATGTTATCTTATGCTCCTTTTGCATACGATTAAATAAGCATTCATTTAGTCATCCACCTCACCTTAAGCTAATCCCTCAAATGACAGATAGAGAAACAAATGAAAGTTTTTAATTTCTTAATATTCACACCAGTCCGAAAACATATTATATATTCCAATAATGAAGATTTATTACACCCTCTGCAAGTATTTATCTGAAAAGTGAAAAGTTAGTTATGATCACAATCAGTAAAACTATTAGTTATATACATTTAAAGAATATTTATAACAGATTAAAAATACCACAAGTCCAAAGACAAACCAGCCAGCAAAATTTTACCCAAAAAGAAGGCATTAACGTAAAAAATCAAATTTTCGGCACATCGCTAACCTTCACGGATTTATTTTGAAGTATAAAGAAGAAATTCAAATTAGTTTTTTGTTACTTGACATGAACTGATGATAAAATGAACGAATTAATGAGAAATATTTTAGCAAGACTTTTTTTAAATGTAATTTTCAGAATAAAGTTTGCAGTTGTTCATAATAACGAAACTTATAAGTAAACAAAAATCGAAATTCATTCCACAAAAGCAAAAAAACTTAAAGATATGTTTTTAAATGAATGAATAGTAATTTATATATTTCTGCACACTATTAAAATGGAACTATTACATTTGTAAATATATTTTTAAAAAAGTTGAATAATAATTAAAACTTTGAAAAGGCATCAATTTATGAAAGCAGTGAATAGAATTAATCAAAATGCAAGTTTATAATGGGAGGCAAACAAGGAGAAAAGCAGCCTTCAAATATTTGAAAAGTTGGATTTTGTTGGCAAAATAATAACGAAAAACAGGTTTTTTTAGTAGATGCTGAGGAAAAAAGCAATCACTGTAATCTTAGTAAATAACCTAAAACTAGTTGGTACTTGGTTGCACTAAGCATGCTGCATAGAAAATTTGTCAAACTCACTTTTGCCTTCTGTAAATATATTTAGTTGCCCATTCAATTAATGATTTAAAGTGCAAATTTCATTTGACCTCAGTTGACCCTTGCACAATACAAAATTTTGCAAATCGTTCACTTCTCCATATATCATCAATATTCAAAAGTGTAATACGACCAAGCACTTGAATTAAGTGAGAAATTTTTCAAAATAATCATTAATTTTTTTCTAGCTATCAAAAATCCTGACACAGTATGAGTTTTTATATAATTTGCTACGCTGAATACCAAAAATATTAAATTGCTGATCAAACTTTTGTAACAAAACCAAAATTTTTTATTATTTAGGTAAGCTTGTAAGCATAAATTTTCAACACTCTATGTTCAATCCTTGCATTAAAAAAATCTTTCTTTGCATCAGTGATTTAAATTGTTTTAATTTTATGCAGATTTTCTGACTTTAGTTTTTTTTCCCAAATATTTTTAACTCAAACAACAAAAATTTTGCAAATAAATTAAATCACTACGGTGTACTTTCACCTCTATGTAACGAATTTCCTTCTATAGCTGTCATTTCTACATGAAAACAATAAATTTTCACATTCTGTAGCAGAACAATGCTTACCACTGCGTGCCAAAATAACACAAGCAAAATACAATGAGATTTCGGACAGTGAACGAAAATTTTTTCTATTCTTCATACCAATTTTTGGTGCCATGGAAACTTTCATTCGTAGTTAGAAAAATCGTAATACCAATTTCGCACGTATAGTGAAAATTTTTATGGTGTAGAAGAATAATGTAAAATGATTAAAAAATTCTATATAAAATATTTTAACATAAAAATTTTAATTTATTAATGAAAATACTTCGGAGCAAAAATATAAATATTGTTAATATATAAGTCCTGGTACTTTTAACATCTGTCTTGCACATACTATTTTATGCTATTTGTTTTAAGTCAAAATTGTATTTTATATTGTTCACATTAGCAGTGGCAAATTTCTTAGTGGAATAGAAAATCTTACCGCCTCCTCCACCAACCGTACCACTGCTGTAATTTCCAGATTGTCGGCTTTGAGTACGTACAGCTGTACGGGGTTGGATCGTAGAACGATAAGCAATTTCATATTCACTATCAGCTGATTGTTTAGTGGACGACATTTTGCTATTTTGCAGGATCAAGTTGTCTTCAATATGCGATAGCTTGAGCTAAGAAAAGCGATATCTTCTACAAGTGTTTCTCAACACTGCAAGTATTTAAATATTAGCAGGGAAATCATTCATTTCCGGTCGAAATTCATAAAAATTTCGTATCGCAACAAATTACAAAAGCGTGAACATGCTCAAATATTTCCATAAATTAATTCGTTATAATAGTAATGAGGGAACATAAATGAATGTCAGTGACTCATAATTTGTTATTAGAATATAAATTTATAACTACAAGTTAGATGTCAAAAACAATAAATTTCATAATTTTATATGCAAAAATGAAATAAACACTTAAAAGTAGTACAGCGTCGAGAGCAAAAATGTTCACGAAATAAATAACTCAAACTATGCAGAAAAAATAACTTTATATATATTGTCGGAAATTTCGCATATATATATATAAACCCTGTGGATAATATTAAATATATATATATATATATATATCAGCAAATGTATACACGTCTGTTTTTTAAACGTACAAAATGCGTACAAACTGCTATTACTAAAAATATGTAGAAAGAATAGAAGGTGAGCTATTTGGAGCAGAGCAATGGGATTTTTCGGACCCATTTTTCTTCCTTTTCTCATGAATGGTACCGAAAACCCTGTGGATAATATTAAATAATTGTACGAATTTTCGCATAAAAAACCTAATTCTTAATGAAATTGACACTTTTAAATATGCCTTCATATATATAAACACTTATATGTATGTATAGAGAAGGAAAAATCTTGTTTTTAGTACGATGTATGCATTCACGCAAGCTGAAAAATAAAGTTATGATTTTAAATAAAAAAATATCTTAGTGATAGACGCACTAAAATGTAAACAATATAACTTTTGATGCCTCGTTGATAAGGACTGTAAAGTATGGAAATCGAAATGTAGACCATTCATTCATGTGAGATTAAGTAAACGCAATGTATGAGAAGAGTTATGCAAATCTAAACTGCTCCCAAAAATAAACATCGAAAACTTCTAACGATAATCATCAAATTGTAAAAGGATAAAGTCTTTAATTTCAAGTTTGAAAACCTTTTCTAATGCTACATGCTATATTAGATCGTGTTATGGAATATTTTTGATGTTAAGTATTACTCAGTAACATAAGAAACCCATTAAACACTGAGAAGTAACTTTTGCATCGATCACATCTGTCTAAGTAGTTATTTCACGTTTAATTTTAGATGAGACCGATAGTCAAATAACTATTTATGGAATGAGAAAGAACCCAAAAGCTGAAAATATTACAGAGTTTTTGTCATTTACTAAGAGAAGCTGAAATTATCAGTACTGATAAGATCAGAATCAGAAAACATGAATATTTTTAAAAAGAATGACTCAATTGAAGTAGAAGAAAAATCACTACCGTAAAACATTCAGAGTAGTGAAAATACTACACAGCTGCAATTCTCCTGTAAAACATGACTGCTTGTATAAGCTAATAACTGTTTCACATTGTCATAGTTATAATACCATGAACTAACTTTTCTGATCGCAGTCAACCTGTAAATAGTCATGTTTGCAGAGCAGTTGTGCAAAACTGTGCTTTTCTGTTCAAAACAATTTTGATTCCAAGTACGAATTGCTAATTATTTGATCAAATTTTTTTCAGAGTTCAAATAAATCTCATTTGAGTTGCGCTAGTATATTTTTCCACAAGTAATTTTCATTGCAGTTTGCTTGTCTACTACTTGAAGGAACAGTTCGCGCAGTGTTAATTATAAAATTACTAAATCGACCAAAGAAATTTATATAAATTAAGTTATCAAGCCGTTAATAAGCTATGGAGTTTCTTTCACTTTAGTATATTATGATTTTCGATAACTGAAATAACTTTGTTCCTACATTCCAGTCTCTGATTTCAATTAAAAGCTTATGATTTTCTAGTGCTGTTTTGAATAGCAAAATTTTCATGAATCATAAGATTTAAGTCGAAAGAATTAAACACATGTTTTAGCAATGTAAACAAATAATAAAAAAGCAAACTCTTACCGTTGATCTAGTATTTATGCATGTTATGATCATTTTTACAGTGAGAATGGTATTTCAGTACTGAATCCACTATTACTGAAAATGGAATGCCGAAACAACAAATGTCATGCCTCATTTTATTAAAAAATTTATTTAGTTTCACATAATAAATTTCTAACTTAACCTGAATTATATGTGCACTCATTATTTATAGTAGTTGTTGCATACGCATAACAAACTTTTGAAAATTTTATTTAAAAATCTATGTCTCTTAAGACCTCCGTAAACACTGACACTCGAAATTAAAAGTATCTTGAATATGGTAGTAGCGGTATAGCAGCTTCCAAATTATGCTGTTCATTTTTAAATTAAGTAGTGAACTTCAACGTTCAAAGGTTGAGTAAGAGTGAGATGGAAGTCAATTTTGATAAGTTTTATTGAACAAAAATATTTGCTTGTGCATTAATGTAGTTCATATTTGAATAGAAGCGCTAAATACGTCTTAACTAGAAACTTTTAATTTTAGAATTTAATGTCTGTCAAACTAAAGCAAAAAAAATATCTCCAACCATCCACTGGTTAGTAACAAAAAAGGCTAATTTGTAATAAATGTTATTTGCTTATTATAATGTAACTCTAATAAATAAGAAAACAAAGCAGTAAATGTATATAGCTTGCAAACGGTTTAGTATTTATTGAAAATGCATTGTTTTTCTATAAAGTAATGTCTATACTTTTTTAAGGACAGTTAAATTCAAATACAGCTTGAATACATTTCTGTTCTTACCCATCTGTTTCGTATTATTTTCCGAGCTATTCCTATAAAATCAATCATAATTGATTTCTTTAATTTGTTGACTGGAAAGCAAATTAATCAAACATACCATTTGCTATTTTCGACGAATTAGTTCAATAGAAACCATTTTCTATCAACTTTACAGTACTAATAAAAGGAAGAAAAAATCATCTGGAAACAGGTCTGCCATCCATAAACAAATTTTTTCTTCCTCTAACACTTTTGTAATTACTTTTTCAATTCATTGGCAATTTGCAATAAGAAATTCAGCTTTTTCTGTAAAATCTTGAAGCTCGTAAAAAAGTTTCATTTTTTGATGTCTTTAATATTCTTTCTCTACAAAACTAATTAATGACATCTAGCATGAAAAAACGAAGAATGAGTAGTTCAAAAAGCAAATTTATGTAATATTTCTTTCTTTCTATCATTAAATTTCGTTGACATTCATAACTAAAGAATTCTATACTCCTAAAAATTCAAAACTGACTCATAAATACGTTATGAATTTTATAGCAACGGCGAAATAATTTCATTCTTTACTGGAATATATTTAATGACTTGCAGTCAGGTAATAACGTATACTCAGGAAATAATTTTAAAAAGTTTTTATAATTCTAATAAAATTCAGTAAAAAATTTTATTGTTTGAAAAAATATGTGGGAAATTATTATATTTAAATCAAAATTTCATACTTTTTTCACAAATTCACAGATAGAATCAATCGGGTGAAGAGCACAATGAACAATTATGCTTCTATCGAATGTAAAATGATAAAGGTATTAGTCATTTGATAATTCTCTTTTTTACTACTTCCAGTGAGAAGAGTGTAAATGGTAAAAAGTTTGATGCATTTTCTTTTTTATGAACGAATGAATCATATGAATAAATGAATTTTACACAAAAGGAAAAATTGTTATTGTATAAATCGGACCAAAACAGATGGTGGAATAAATAATATGGGTTTACTCGACCAGCAAAGCACTCTTCGTAATAATTATTTTATTCCAGTGATGGACAGGAAATGTATGATATACCTGAGAAAGCATTCATGAAAATTTTGGTTTCCACTTGTTTTCATGTTGATAGTTAGCTGAAGTTGTAATCATTTTTGGGATTATCACAAAAATTGCCATTTCTACTTTTAAAGGTAGTAGAACAGATGTATTGTACTAGCCTTGACACATTCATAGCTAGAACTACTAGCTTCTCATAACTTCAGTTAAAACCTTTTGTAAAGCTAACTTTCATTGTTTTAAATAATCTTAATTCCATTTGTTACTTTTTTATTATGAATACTTTTACGAATTATTTGCAACAAAATCGTGTGATTTTGAAAAAATACTTATATCATTTAGTTTAAAATTGTTTTTAGTTGAAAACCTATCAAAATTATTTCCAGATGAAAATGTAGTAAAGTACTACAATAAAAATTCTTAACGAAAATGCATATACTGCAAAAAAAATTTTTGGTACACAAAACAGATTTAATATCTTGAAAATAAGCAATGACTCTATGCGAGATCAGTTGCACATGAAGACTGACAAATTATGCAAACTTATCTATCATGAAATCTTATTTTATATTATAAATACTTGCAGCTGGCTAATATTATTTTTCTATTAAAAAATTATGACCTCTGCCGCTGATAATAATAATAAGTTTCTATTTTCATAACCAAAGTGATACCATGTGAATAAACCATTTTACTGACCAAATTACAGGTAACAGTCACCGTCTTGAATCAGGATAAAAGTACAAAACTCACTTTGCAATTTTCATTCTCATTTATAAAACTGATATGTATAGAATTGAAAATTTTCTGTGGTTAGCTGCGTTTGTCGTTCGAAAGATTAAACACTACATTGAATGTTGAAGTGATTTGAATTTGACTAGTTTATTTTCGGTTATTTTCTTACATCTATCGAAATTTTATGGATGTTTATTTTTTCACTTGCATGTCCTTGAGAAGGAACATATTATTCATTAATGCAAAACATGAATCTTGGTTGCTGAGCAAAATGTTCCACTCTCATTACTTCATTTCTGCAGGTCTCTTCACTTGCATTTGAAATTTTTACAAAATGCACCCAGATCCCTTAGTTAAATAATAAGCATTTATTAGCCTTTTATTTTCAAAAAGATAAATTGACAACATGTAAGATAAGATAAACTGACGA